GCCATCGCTTCGCGGGCCAAGGTTGAATTGCTGGCAGCGATCACCAGCAGGATGGACACTTTCAGACAGAAGCGGTTCTGCAAGCGCATTGACTGGAGGTTGCAAAAACCAGAACTACTGGTACCAGAAACTGTGGTTCGACCTGTTTGTAGTTGCTCTTGCAATTGCTCCCAACCCAGAGTGAGCCGTCCATTAAAAAAAAACACATCCACCACATAGGGTATCCAGTTTTAGGTGTTTGGCCACCCCCAAGTAGTTGTGACCAACACGTCGTTCTCATCGAAGGTGCGTGACCCTGCCCATCTAAGCCCGGTGAAGTCCAATTCTTTGTCGCTGAGTTGCGATGCATCCTTGGCAACTCTCAACAGCATGTGCATTGCCTCAAATATTGACTCATGACTCGTCTCTGGCATGAGTCATTGATGGGCTTTTGCATGTCCCCACTTGGTTTCGTTCGGATGAGATTCCTGGTAGAATGTAAGCTTGCACATGTGAGTATGGGTCAAAATTAAACCACGAGGGGGCCGCGGGTGTTAGTCCTTGTTTCCATTTACCAGGGTTCCATTTTGGGTAATGTTGGAGAGTGATTTATAAGGGCCCCCCCCCCCTCAAACGAATTGGGGGGGGTTAAAGGGATTGATAAGGAATTTGGTGGTTTGGGACAGGAACCAATCCAGACATTCTGGACATTTCTGGCTGGCCTCAAACGTTTCAACCCTCAAAAATAGTCCATTCTTGGAAGGGGACATATTTTCGGGATTTCGGGCAGATCTTTTTCGGTAATACCTACCCTTTTTGCTTTTCAGGAGAGTGAATAATTTTGAGATGTTTTTCTGTATTCACTCCCTTTTTATTAATCGCTATCTAACATTACCAAATTTTGGACCCATAGCCATGTTGGCACCGGATGAATTCTTGGAGTTGGAATTTGGAGGCCCTTCAACTCTCCTTGCCAGACCGCTTTCAAGCAGAAGCTGTGGCCGGCTGGGCTGCGGCTTCCACAGCCTTCCCAATAGAGGAATGGAATCGGACAGATTTCAATGAGTGCTGTCACGCCGCTCGATGTTGCGAGAAGTCTATCTGGACTGCAACCAGATTTGCTTGAATCAAAAATTTGGTGTGATAGCCTCGAAGCACTGCACCACTTCGCATGAGCGAAACACAGATGTGCTTCAGAGCAGGCGAGGCGCAAGATGCAGGGAAAGCGCGGCCCCCTTTGGCATCGACTTGCGACGCCAGCGTGTGCTGAATCAATCATTGGTCATCAACCCTTCAAAGGCAGCCATTGTACAACCTTCTCTATAGGAAGCATGGCCACAGCATTTCACCGCAGCACATGTGATTGCCAAAAAGGTGGCCGTGTCGCACTTCTGAAAGCGACTGGCACCATCTTGGAATCCCAAGCGCGCAACTTGACCGTACAAAATGCGGTATATTGGTTTCCGATCCTTTGAGCTTGACAGCAACTCTGACAACCAATTGCCTGTCCCACCAACCAGCAGGATCTTGGATAGATAGGACGAACTAGTTGTCCGCCCATCTACCGCAAGTCTTTGCTTGAAGTTGCAACAATTGGACGCGCCAAAGCAACGGGCCAAAGTAACTTTGAGAGAACATGATGATATGCTTGTTTGGCCCATTGAGCACAATTGCCTGCCTTGCATATGGTGGAACAAGGCGGAAGGAACACCGCACGCTTGTTGTACTACTGGTTGACGAGTTTTGTTTTTGAGGGGGTGGGGGGAGCATTTAGTCACTATTCTGAGTGCCAGTGCTGTAGTGTGGTTTGAAGATGATTGTGGTCGCGCTGTTCGTAGAGTTGCGCGCCCACTCTGGTTGCGCGCCCACTCCGGAAGGATTGCAGCTGTCAACATGTTGCGGCTCTAGAAACGTCGCCAAAGCTACAGACATGTGCATGCGCCTGCCTTTGCCACATGATTACAAGGAGATGTAAGCTGCCGAGAGCGGGTTTTTGGGCCCCTAAAAGCGGCCAAGACCCCGAGAAGACTATTGAGCAGAGACACTGCGGGCAAGGCTTGGAAAATCCAGATCAGACAATACCATAAGACTGGCACGGCTATGAGAAATAACAGAACGAGGGCGAGGGGACTTGCTTCCATTAGCATGTGCAATGAACAACATGTTAACATATCAAGAGCAGACGTCGCAAACGAAGAATTAAGTATGAACAAGACAGACACATTCTTCCGGGGGCTTTAGACTTCAGAGTTGATATTGGAGTTGACGAAGGCCTGTTTGTTGCTCGCCTCTGTTTGTTCCAGTCTGAAGGGCTAAGCAATCCTATGCTAAAACCCACACGCTGCCCGGTGCTGGGCAGCTTGCGAGCCTTCTGATGGATCAGAACGCGAGACCAATTTGATCGGAGCCCGAGGGTTGGCGTGTGCCGGTCTCACGTGGCCCACCAGGTTTCTCGGAGAAGTCGGTCGAAGCGATTGCTCGAGGAGCTACTGTGGAGCTCACCGAACCGCACGTGGTTTGCTTTCGCAAGCGGGGGAATGCCTTCGCTGCACTTGACACCTGCAATCGAGAGTGCCTGGGGACCTAGTGTCCCATTGGAAAGCTCTCTATGTCAGGTTGTGCACTTGCTGGAAAGGGTACAGCTGAAGGCGGGAACTTTTGCTTATACTGGGCGCTGTAGAGTCGGCCTACTAAAATTAAATTCAGGGAGCAAGTACAGGAGCCATGCGAGGGAAGAATATGTTAACACCCATTCTCCACACAAGCGGGTAAATGTCGACAATGATTGAACATGCTATTTCAACCGCTGCAAGTTGAAAGTAAGAAACATATGCCATTGCCATCATCATTTCAATCATTTTGCAGTGCAAAAATCATGATCGCCATGGGGCATCACCCGACCACACCTGAAAATGAGACCGAAATGAAGATAGTCTCCGGCCTCACCCGCCCCCTTGACCTGGCAATAAGGGCATGGCCAGTAGGCGACAAAACTACATTTCGTACACGAGTCTTAGCCTACAGGACCGAATAGCAAGAAGCGACCCCTCCCCTTTGCCCTCCCCAAAACAAGTGCAAATACGCATGCTAACTGAACTGACTCCATTCCAACAAGGTCCAAGCCAGAAGCAAACAGCGAGACATGCACATGCCTCCCTTCCTCCCCTCCAAAAAAAAGGCTTCGCGTACGCCCTCAAAAGATGAAAAACACATCTCCATCCCCAGATTACGATGGCAACACATCCGTCAGGTTCCCTCAACCCTTCATGGATTCGATCGCATAGGATTCCTCGCACAGAATTTGCGGCCATCTCCGTGGACTTTGTATTTCCTGCGCTCCTGTTAGCAGCCGCTAGCATGTGAGTTCCGGTCGGATACAGCATATCTTGAGGGATGAATAAGCCGAACCTGCCTTACGAGTCTCGAGTTATGCCGATACAGCTCCCAGTATGCGTCTAGCACTTTTTCGCATTCGCACACATCTGCCCACTTTGCCGACTTTGGTGAATTGAATAGAATGTGCGTTATCTTGTTCATGCTGTTCGTTGGGTCGGCAACCCTGTTCAAATGCGTTGCTGAAGGTTGAGTCAGCCTGAAGAAAGATACAAGGTTGAGTCAGCCTGACAAAAGATATTGGCCGCCTGGGTCTGCATGCAATGTGCTAGCAGGATATATGGCATGTTTGGAGCGCTTGCAGCAACGCACAGCTTTTGCGCCGTGCCCATGATAGCTATGGGCCAAGTCTGCGCACCACACAGCACCCTCAGCGTAGCCGTTTCATCTCAAGCCGCAAGCAGAACAAAGAAAGCACAGGGCGTCAAAGGGCCCAGCTTAAACACCGCGGGCAAGCCGGGCGTGCTCTCGGCGAAGCGGGCAACGAAGCAGGCATGTTGCCGCGCAAGAGAGGGCATGATGGGTTCAAGTCATGAGCAGTTGCTTTCCTGCAAGTTCGCATGGAACCCAATCCCCCTCAAAAGGAGATTCAACTAAGCAATGGATTTCGAGTTCTATTTTAATCTACCCAAAGTAGCCCCTAAAAGCTGGTCCCCAATGTCCTGGAGACGAGGGCTTGTAAAACTCTTGAGGCTTAAACACCCAAACTCCAAGAGGGCAGGGGGGAATAACGCTTCAAACCTTTGCCAGATTTTTGCTCCCAAGTTTTTTGTTCGTGGGGAGGGAAGGTTTTCGGCTCGGAGCGGCGGACAGAGAGAGGTTCGGGTGATGATGATGATGATGATGATGATGATGATGATGATGATGATGATGATGATGATGATGATGATGATGATGATGGTGATGGTGATGATGATGATGCTGATGATGATGATGATGATGATGATGATGATGATGTCGACAGTTAAACAAAACCCCTCGCGAAGTCAACAGCTTTCAGTTCCCAAGCTAGGAACTCCGGACATCGCTCCGCCGCAGATCCGTCCACTGGATGCGCTTCCCAGATCAAGGGGCGCGCGCACGCGCGCCGCGCAGTCGCTCCGGTTCCAATCCATCCATCGGAGTTTCGCGCGACCCCGGATCCCGCCCCGGATCCGTCCACCCGCTGCATCTCTCCAGCATCGCCTGCTGAGCCTCTCCGTGGCATCATCATCATCATCAACATCCTCGATCATGCGAGCTGAACAAAAGTTTTGAAATGTTTGGAAGGCCGAAGACAGTGAACTGAGATTCATCTCCAGGATTTGAACAACACGACGGGAACACTCGCTCTGAAACCGTGCTGGTCAAGCTGGGCCTCATCTCTTGGTTTGCGGTTTTTCATACGTGCCACGTAGCGGGCCAGTCACTGTTGGTGGATTATTTTTTGGGCTTATGATAGATAACGTGGGAAGCCGTTCGTGAATGTGCCGGAACTTTGGTGGATGACGCCAGTTGGTTTAGTTTCTGCAAAACCCAGCGTGGCTCCAAGCAAAGGGTTCCACAGGGTAAACTGGGTGAAACAGTGTTGATCACCCACGAAGTTCTTCACGAACATTCCACATGTTCATGTAAAGTATTCTGGGGTAGACTTAGGATACATTTTACATCATTTTACATTGTAGCTGTGACTCAAAGTGAAGCAAAGCATCAAGTATGACATATCCCTGGTATACATATCCCCCACTCTAATCATGTATTCCATTTCAACCGGCTTGCGCCATGGCTGCCTTCCAAAAACTGCCCCACGATATTTTTCCCAGGTGTCTGCATGGCCTGGTGGGGCCGGAAGCCCAAGGTTCGCCGAGATTTGGTTGCTGGATTTCGCCTGCTCTTTGTTCTTCCAGTACCCCCAATCGAAATGATTTGAAATCACACAACCTGAGCCAAAAATCGGCCCGCTGCAAATGAATGAGAATTCTAGAATATGGGTATATGTAGGAGACACCTCAACGGGGTCTGAAGGTTTTCATTTCAACCCCATGTCTGAGGAAGGCATGCCAGTGGGGGGGGGGGGGGGGGCGGGCACCGATGGCGCGAAATATGAAGTATTGGAACGGGCGCATCTGACAGTATGTGCGAAAGGACCCGCGTTTTGGCTGGCTCTCAATTGAAAGCACATGTAAGCAAACAATTCGGGACACGCACGAGAGCCCGCGCACACACACACACACACACACTTGTGTCGTCAGCATGAAACACTTGCACATGGAGAGTGCTAATGTCAGCATGCACAGCAGAGGATCACACACACATCGACACCGAACCAAAGCATCAGCTCCCAAAACATCGACGCCGAAAAAAGAAACAACAGCTCCGGAAACAGAGCCGAACAGGAAAAGAAGCGGTCCAAAACAATCGCCGCAATCCGGTGGGAGTTCGATGAGGTAGCCTCAAGGGCAACATTGTTGATAACGCTTGAATGCAGGTACGTCAGCGCGTCCAGTGCTGATATCCTAGCCTGAATCCTGGAGCTTCGTTGGCCCACACCAAACAGCCCGTGGGCCCGCTATAAAGATCGCTCAGCCGACGTTCGGCACATTCCCAAAACATATTTGTCCGAAGCACTCTGCTTGTCAAGCTGAGCCTTCAAGCCTGCTGCCAGCTCTACTCTAAGCTGCGAAGAGTGGACTGCACCCCTTGGACGATGAATGGGTCACATGGCATGCTTGGCTGAGATTCTTGCCGACTGTTGGCTGTCCCAGGATCCAGGGTTTTCCCCTCACACACACATGCGGCGTGGTGCGTGGCTGCTTTAGAGCAGTCATAGTCCTCACGGCTATAGACTAGTGATGTGAACCAGCCAGCATGGCAGCCATTTGAGAATCTGCGGGGACGGTTGTGAACATTGCAATAGACACCATGACCACTCTTCAAAGAGGGAACGTGACCCTGGCACGAACAAGTGTGTAAGCTTAAGCTTTCTCAGAGTGGAAAGCCTGGTTGGCGCCGCTGATTCATCAGAGCGCACCTGAGCAGCGCTCCCAAAGCTCACGAAAATTCTTATGCAACTGGTTCCCTAGCTTTCCTGAAAAGCAACCCCTGCATCACAAACCTTCACAAAAGCTTTTGGTGCAATTCAGCCCGCAGCTTCGCGACGTTCCGCTTATACTGATCCAGGCATGCTGGCTGTTTCCCCCCTTTGAGCCCACTGGGGGGACCAGTTTCCACCAAGAGCCCACCAATGTCCTGTACCCAGAGACCTCCAAGAGCTCGAGCCCCCGCCGCTTTGCGCTTTGCGTCGCGAAAGGCGAGCTGGAGTTGCCGCATGCTTCGCATGCTACACTTGGACTGACATGTGTGTGTGTGTGTGTGTGTTTTCGTGTGTGTTTCCGTGTGTGTTTCCATGTTCGGTTACTACATGTAAACTGCCAAAGGAGGTGATTTGTTGAAACCTGGAGCTACCCGGGCTGTGCCTCGCCAGGCTTCGCCAGAAAAGGATCTAAGGGTTGCGAAAGGATTGATACAAAACACATGTAAGCAACAGGAGAACAGACGCAGCGCGCGTCAAAGTGCGAAGTCATGCCAGCGAGATCCAAACCTCAACCTATTTTGAGCACTCATGACAGTGCGCTGTGAAACACTGCAAACCGACAGATAGCTGAGAGTGGTTCACAGGATGGGTGGTTTCGTTTCTTTAAGCCACTGCTGAGGTCGTGATGACGATGACTATTCCCTTTCCCCGAAGAGGCAGATGCCCGGCCCCAGCAAGCTGAATGCGGAGCACGCAAATTCCGTTTCGTGTCAATTGGAATGTTCTGCCGACCCTCTCGAGGCGTCCTTGCAAAGTGGAAACACGACAACTGAAAGGCTGCGCCTTGCTTTGAAGACGTTTCTTTTTGGGGGACCTCCAGGATAGGTCGGAGACACACTGTTTGCTGCTTCAGTTTTTGGGAGTTGAGACAGCGATTGCGGCGCCAGTCGTCGGACGAACACGGAAGCAGACTTCCAAGTGTCCTTCCGCGAGTGGAACTCCTCTACCTTATTGTTTCTGGGGGTGGCGCAGCCCTCAGTGCCGAAGCGGGAATGGGATCGATCCCGAGGCCAAGAGGAGGAAAAACCAGAAAGGTGAAAGAATCCGGCAAGGGTTCGGACTGTGCTTCCTTTTTCTGGTAAAAGTAAAGAAGCAAGAAAGTGAAACTGCTGGATCCATTGAAAGGAGAAGAGCATTGCACATGAAGCGTCGGACGGCATGGAAACGGATGGGACAAGCTTTGCAAAGCTGAGCAGTGGAGTTGTGCAGAGTGGCAAGCTAGAAATACTTTCTCCTTCAAGGGGGTGAGCACAGCTGGTGTCAGGGTTTTGATGAGAGAAAGCTGCCCAATCTCAAGGGCAGCTTTAGGACAGCCATGAGGATACCCCGCCCATTTTTTTCCTGAGAGCTGAGGGACTCAGAAATCCGAAAAAGTGTCCTGCCGAGCCTTTCCTGTTGGATTTCTTGCCAGCTGCTTCCCGGCAGGTGCTTGGTGGAGCACTGCTGATTGCCGTGGCTGGGAGCCTTGGGGCGAAATTTGTGTTTGCGCCCAAAAGGATGGAGTCAAGGCCTTGGTGCCCAAGAACTCTCCAAGTTCACCAGGAGATTCTACTCCAAGTTTACCAGGGGATTCCACAGAAGACCCAGAGTTCGGGTGGTTTACTTTTTTAAGGTTTACCTTTTTGATGGTTTTGACCCGCCCTCGTACAAAGGTTCGCTGCCAAGCATAACATAGCTTGGGGGGCACATGACATGTGTCGGAAGCCTGTGCAGTCATTTGTATTATCTTATCTTCTTTTAATCCTGGTGCTTGAAGGGATTGACTTCCTAGACATTGCAAGCAACCAGACAACGGTCTTCAGGCAGGGACTCAACCGTTGCTCAAAGGCACTAAGAGCGAGCCACCTTTTGAAGATGCCAAGCAAACACGAGGGATGATCAAGCAACGCTGGCTGGCCAGTGTGAGCAGTGAAGTAACACTGGTGACGTGCACGAGCCAGTAGAATGTGTATGTTTACAGGGCCATCTCCAATGATGCTTAGAGCAAAACACACGGTACATAATGAGGCCCTCATTTGGGATCATTGCCACATCGAGATGAATCAATTGTATGTCGGTATGTTGCACCTCGCCCAGGTTTGCGCACCTCGCTTGGGCGCATCGGGCGGCTATGTACTCTCGGCGTGCTTTGTTTCGCAGCTGGTGCAGTGTGTCCTTTTTTAGGGACCCCAAAATGGAGGTTTCCTTTCAAAAAGCACCAAAAAAGGGGCACCCTCAAAAAAGACACACCCATACATCTAACATTATCAAACAAAAATCAAGGCCGTCGCAAACGGCGCTGTTACTCATTCTATTGTTTCATTGACTCGATTTGTGAATCTGTCAAATGTATTGGGCGTCATTCTTATTGTGCTATTCGGCATTGTGCGCACCGTGTATGGGCCTAAAGCACTGTGCCCACAAAACCAACAACAACAACGACAACAACAACAACAACAACAACAACAACAACAACAACAACAACAACAACAACAACAACAACAACAACAACAACAACAACAACAACAACAACAACAACAACAACAACAACAACAACAACAACAACAACAACAACAACAACAACAACAACAACAACAACAACAACAACAACAACAACAACAACAACAACAACAACAACAACAACAACAACAACAACAACAACAACAACAACAACAACAACAACACCAACACAACACCAACACCAACACCAACACCAACACCAACACCAACACCAACACCAACACCAACACCAACACCAACACCAACACCAACACCATCACCAACACCAACACCAACACCAACACCAACACCAACCCAACACCAACACCAACACCAACACCCACACACCAACACCAACACCAACACCAACACCAACACCAACACAACAACAACAACAACAACAACAACAACAACAACAACAACAACAACAACAACAACAACAACAACAACAACAACAACAACAACAACAACAACAACAACAACAACAACAACAACAACACCAACACCAACACCAACACCAACACTAACAACAACAACAACAACAACAACAACAACAACAACAACAACAACAACAACAACAACAACAACAACAACAACAACAACAACAACAACAACAACAACATCAACCAACAACAACAACAACAACAACAACAACAACAACAACAACAACAACAACAACAACAACAACAACAACAACAACAACAACAACAACAACAACAACAACAACAACAACAACAACAACAACAACACAACAAAAACAACAACAACAACAACAACAACAACAACAACAACAACAACAACAACAACAACAACAACAACAACAACAACAACAACAACAACAACAACAACAACAACAACAACAACAACAACAACAACAACAACAACAAAAACAACAACAAAACCAACAACAAAACCAACAACAACACCACCAACAACAACAACAACAACAACAACAACAACAACAACAACAACAACAACAACAACAACAACAACAACAACAACAACAACAACAACAACAACAACAACAACAACAACAACAACACAAAAACAACAAACAGCAAACAACAAACAACAAAC